GCTACTACCCGGGGGAGGGCCTTCTCTGTGGCAGCTCCGGACCGTTGGTGCGGACTCCCCGCAGAGAGTCCGACCCCCACCTCTCTCCAGGCCTTCCGAAAAGCCGTTAAAACCTGGCTGTGTCGGCAGGCCTGGGGTTGATGAGCTCCCTTCCCCTCTCGACCTGTGTTGGCTATTTTAAATGCTTGTATTGTACTTTTGTGTTCCCTTTCCCCCTTGAGTTGTTCGCCGCCCTGAGTCCCGCTGGGAATAGGGCGGCATATAATTAAAACAAATCTCAATCTCAATCTCCTTACCCTGAATCTGACTAATTGTGTGCCCTCATCTGGCGTTTCATACAGCAGTCATCCCATATAGGTGCTATTAGGATCTTTTTCACCCCCATGTATCTAAACATCTTTTAAAGTCCCTACACTAGATTCTGTCACCATATCTCAAGGGCAGGAATTCCACAAATGAGTAGCTAAATACAACTGAATAATAAAAACGGTGCAGAAAAAGATTTATTACAAAGAATAACGAAGCACTACACTACATCACTGTGCTCATTTAGTTTAGTTAATGATGAGATCCACACTATGAATAGTGACATTTGAATCTAAGTTCATATTATACACTTGCTTTTTAATTTTTAAAAAAATATTTTTAATATTTAAAAAGAGTGATCAAAGTACTACAGATTCTATTATACAAATATTGAGCAACAGGACCTCAGAAACAAAAAAAAAAAGATATTATGGAATACGTAAGGTACAAATATAGCGCCTATATTCAATTCTTTAAATTGAATGTGGCTGTGTTCTGCAGCTGCTATGCAATCCTGGAAAAAGATGCAATGATATAAGGAGTTGCAAGCAGCAACTATATCTACATTTCCAGCCATGCCAAATTACTAATATGCTTTCAGTTATGAAATAGTACACAATTGTAATGAATAGGGTTTAATCCAAATCACTGAATTTTATATTAGACCATCATTATTTTCCCCATCTGGACAAATAAATACCGTATTTTTTGGAGTTTAAGATGCACCTTCTTCCCTCAAAAAAAAGAGGCTGAAAATCTGGGTGCGTCTTATACGCTGAATACAGCATTTTTTGCCTCCTGAAACCCCACCCCCTTCACCAAAATGGCCGTGCATAGCCTTTAGCAGCCTTGCAGAGTGCTCCAGGGGGCTGGGGAGGGCAAAAATGAGTGAAAAACAGGCCGTTTTTTGCTCAATTTTGTCCCCCTACCCTCCAGGAGCACTCTACAAACCTCCTAAATGCTATGTCCTTTTTTTGAAAAAAAAATCGGGCCCATTTTTGGGAGGTCTGCCGAGTGCAAGAACCTTTTTTTTTTATTTGCCTCTTCAAAATGTTAGTGTGTCTTACACTCCGGTGCGTCTTGCACTCTGAAAAATATGGTACTTGCTCTGATATTCAATGCCGCACATACAATAAAATGCATACAAGCATTTTTAACTAAAGCATTTTTGCATGAATTTAGACTGGAATAAGAACAGTTGCATTACTCACTAGTGCTGATAAGAGGAAGCTGATTTTTGCGGGAACAGCCTTATTTCAGGATAGCCTTGAATATTTTCTTGATGACACAGAGAAAAATATTTTTGGCAGTCCACACTACCGACTACAATCAGTCCATTCAGCAACTAAAACAAAGGATTGGATTATTCTAGTTGAGTTGTAAAAATTGCTCCAATAAACCATCCAAACATAACTGCAATAAAAAAATATGTTTTTTTAAAAAAAGAAAACCTACCCAATTACCTTATTCAATAGCTTGTCCTCTGAAGAGTTTGCTAAGAGTTTCTTCCCAGGCATGTACCCAGAGCTTGAGTTAGCAAGAAAGTATAGGTAAAGGTTCCCCCGCACAAGTGTGAGAGTCGTTCGGGGGACGTGCTCATCTCCGTTTTTAAGCCGAAGAGTCAGCACTGACTGAACACCTCTCCGTGGTCATGCGGCTGGCATGACTAAATGCCAAAGGTGTACGCTATTACCTTCCCACCAAATCGGTCCCTATTTTTCTACTTGCATTTTTACATGCTTTCGAAGTGCTAGGTTGGCAGAAGCTGGGACAAGTAACAGAAGCTCACTCTGTTACGTGGCGCTAGGGATTCAAACCAACAAATTGCCAACCTTCTGATCGACAAGCTCAGGGTCTTAGTCACTGAGCCACCCATTTCTATACTTTCAGTATAGAAAGTATGCTGGCATGAAATCTGGTAGTCTCCTTTGTCACTCATTGTCGTCCCTCTATAGATAGGTTTTTTTCAACTCACTCAATTTCCCTCCACTGTAACAGGAAACAAAATCTTACTTATTTTATACAGCTTGAGTGTCGGAATAAGTGGAAAGATACCCCTTTAACACCAGTACAACTAAGGACAACTTAAGACTATCTCACTCATAGGCAGGATAAGGGATGAAAGCAAACTCCTGAGAACACAGCAAAAAAAAAAAAAAAAAAAAAAAAAAAAAAAAAAAAAAAAAAAAAAGCTGTCATGCATATTAGTGCGCCAATTACATACATGTTAGAAAAGGACCCCCGACAATCTTTATTTTTGCATGGATTTTGGTTAAGACACCACACTGGGTGTAAAAGGAAAGAATGCACACCTCTCTGCTTTTTCCAAAATGAAAAGCTCCTGAATGACATGAGCCTATGTCTTAGGTGGTGAATTGGAGTTTTTACATGTGTATAATGGTTATGGGAGGATCAATAGCTAAGATGCTGAGCTTGTTGATCAGAAAGGTCGGCAGTTTAGCAGTTTGATTCCTTAGCGCCACGTAACGGAGTGAATTTCCGTTACTTGTCCCAGCTTCTGCCAACCTAGCAGTTCGAAAGCATGTAAAAAATGCAAGTAGAAAAATAGGAACCACCTTTGGTGGGAAGGTAACAGTGTTTCGTGCGCATTTGGCATTTAGTCATGCCGACCACATGACCACGGAGACGTCTTCGGACAGTGCTGGCTCTTCGGCTTTGAGATAAGCACCACCCCATAGAGTGGGGAACGACTAGCATATATGTGCGAGGGGAACCTTAATGGTTTTGGGGATGATGGTAAACCAAACCTTTAGGATCTCGTTTTGAAAACGAACTGAAGATAAAATGGTAGCTATTGGATGAACTATAGCTGATGTCCACCTAGCTAAGTTTCTCCAGTGAGTTTCTGATCCCAAATTTGCTTGTAAAAAAGTCTAGGGGAAAAAGCAATTTGGAGATGTTTCTTTGTAGCATCTTCCTGTTCCTAAAGACAATATTTTGCAATTGCTGTCAACCAGCCAAGAGGTTATCATTTCCCCTGTGTTTGCGTAAGTTAATGCTCTTTTTCTGGGTTTCATTTCTCTGACATTCCATGCCACGAATAGCAATGCATTATTCAAAATAACTGAGTAATTTAAACAGACCAGAGACATAAATCAAGATACGGAATTTCAATAACTTCAAAAGAAAAGCATAACTCTATTCAATGTCTATTTTCACTGCACTTAAAAATCTGTTGCACTATTCCAAGGAATTCAAACTATGGAATTAATTGCTGTGGAATATCAGTGTCCGCTACAAAAAAATGCAACTGATAGGAACAAGCAGGTAACCCGGCCTCTTGTTTATGTTCAAGTCTACTATCCATTACATACCCTTTTCTGCCTACTTTTTTAGTAAGGGAAGAAAATACTGAATGAACTACATCAGTAGTTGTCATGGCAAGCTTAAATTCAGATGAAGAAACCAACATTGAGTGGCCAGTTCCAGAATTGCTGGACTAACGGCTGTCTGAGGCGTTTCAGAGGAAGCAGGGCTATATAGGAAAACCAGCAGGCACAGCTGCTGCCAGTCTCTGAAGATTAGGACCCCAGGTTACCGTGACTTACCCCTCCAATACAAGGGCTTGGCGTGTGGAGAGCAGAGTAGAGAAAGGAACATTACCCTTCCAAATGTGCAACACTGGGGTTGTTTTATTTAAGAGCAGCATGCTGAGGTCTCTCTGTTGGCAACATTTTATTTACCCTGACTGTGTGGGACTTGACTCCCAATTTGAATAGAATGGCTTGCCTTCAGAATAGAATGGCTTGCTCCATCACTGGAGGCTTTTAAGAAGAGACAGGACAGACACTTGTCTGAAATGGTATAGGGCAGAGGTCGGCAAACCTATGGCTCTGGAGCCACATGTGGCTCTTTCATCCCTCTGCTGCAGCTCCCTGTCCCTCCCAGCAATTGATAGGGCTTTCAGTTAGGACAGGTAGAGGAAAAACAATGCCGCACTAGGAGGAGACTCTATGGTGGGGGAACCAGACTTCCAGTCGGCGCCAAAATTGAATGGGGAGCTTCCGGTTAGGACCTTTGTGGCTCTTTTGAGTGTTTAAGGTTGACGAGCCCTGGTATAGGGTATTCTGCTTCAGTAGAGGGTTGGGCTAGAAGACTTCAAAGGTCCCTCCCACCTCTGTTATTCTGTCTTTGAGCTTGGACCCAGAACCGGCTGATGAACCTTTTACAACTCTTGGACTTCATCATTTGATCACTCTTGTACCCGCTCTTTTGGACTGGAATTTTAAGGCAAGTTTTTGGGGACCTGTTTCCTCTGCTCTGAGCATGTGTCCAGCTGCCCTTGCATTTCCTTTTCTTCTTGTTTATTTATTTCCCAGATATATCAGTACAGTTTGCAACCACCTCTCTAGGGGTTTGTGTATGCTTGCTCTGGAATAGGACAGGAGTGTTCTGACCTAGGCTTCCCCAAAAAGCACGAGGCAGAGTCCTGGTCCCGAGAAAACCCCTTTTATTAAACAAATGTGAATTCCTCTCATTCACATACAGCAAGGCCTGGCAAACAGCCTTTTCAAAGGAATATTTATCACTACAGACCTTATCTATCTTGGAAAGCTGCCATGTAAGTATTTTTCAAATGAGGTGCTGTGCAAGGAAAGACTGGGCACAGAGTGTCTGAGATTCACGGACAGATCTTCAGACTCCTGAAATGAATCTAACAACCAAATGAACGAATGGTTTCCTGCAAAAGCCCACTCCCCTTTCACTCCTCTTTTATTTCCTATGGGAGGAGCCAATCACCTTCCACCTGTGACTTTACTTCCAAGTTTACCCTGATTTCTGAGTTGTTCTTTTCTTCTGGCAGCTCTGCGCATGCGCACACTGGGAACAGGCTTTAGCTGTTCCTCTGCCTCACTGCTGTCTAGCTCCGTAGGCATCTGATCACTGCCAGATGGCCTCAGCCCCATCTCTGCCTCCAACGCAGAGACCTCGTCCAAGCCTTCCCCAGCCTCCAGGACTGGCCCATGCTCCTCCCCTACCTCCTCACTGTCCGATTCTGCTGCCAGCTCTGCTGTCGGGTTACAACAAGGAGTTTGTTTATCACAGACAATAATACGTAAACACTTATGATAGACACTGAGGGAGTTTCCACGGATGGTATTTGGGGAAAAAAGACAACTAAAAATAAGCAAGTTTTGCTTTTACCCGTGCCATCTTCTTCCATTCTGGCATTAAAGCTTGGCAGGGACCACACCAGGGAGCATAAAAATCAACCACCCAGATTTCGTTATTCTTCCTTTTCTTCACTAGCTCAGTGAAGGTATCTGGTGTTAGAGAAATCACTGATGGGTTCATAAGATCCTGAAACACAGAATGGAAAAGATTTAATGAAATTCCTTTTCAAATGTATCAACCTTCACCAACCATACCAAACAGTGCGAGGAAACACTTCCTCTGGGGGGGGGGGGATAGGTAGCGCTTCTCATGACTATATCAAGGTTTAAAATTGGAAAAATTGGTGTTATACAGTTTACATTTCCTTCCTTGTAATTGCTTATTACCTTACGATTAGTTATATTTTGCTTTGATTGTTTTAAATTAAGTTATTCACTAAATATAATAATAATTAATGCTTTTAATGTACCGCGGCAACATTTTTTTAAAATATAAAAGTTTCATTAAATGAATTTATGATCAAAATAAATTGCCATTTTTTTCATATATATCTTACAGGCCAAAGAGTCTAATGCATCCTTTAATTATTTCTGGCTTCAGGTTTTGTAAGATGCTAACTGGACCATAGATGTCCTAATAATATTTGTTTTCCTTTAAAGCTGTTGAGACTCCTATGGGATTGCAATGTGGTGGAAAATGTTAACAAATAAATAATTACCTCAATAAACTCTAAGATCTGTTCAGCTGAGTGATGTCCTCCATATTCATGTGTGTGAGACTGATTGAATACCACAGTGGTTGGATACGCTCTAATGTTGTGCTATAAGAGAACATGAAGTAAAAGCTCTTGAGAAACGGCAGGAGTTAGGCCTCCTTTCATTCAGTACTCTGGCAGGCACTTTCTTCTGAAAACTAAACCTAAGCACCCATATTCTATATCACTGCAATCATTTATTTTAAAAAAACAGAAGTGAACAAAACACAGGTGTCAGATGGGATCGTGACCCGACAAAAGCGCGCCCGACAACAGTGCGGCGACAAAACCGTGACGTTGATAGCGCACCCACAAAGGTGCGCCGACAAAAGACCGTTGACAGAAACGCCATTATGGTTAAGGTAAGGGTCGGTGAACCGGTTAAGTTAAGGGTTAAGGTAAGGGTAAGGGTTAGGGTTAGGCTTAGGTTCAGGTTTAGATTTAGGGTTAGGTTCAGGGTTAGGTTTAGGGTTACGTTTAGGGCTATCTTCTATCGGCGTGCTTCTATGTTCATTCTTCTGCGGGATTTCGAACATGTGCTTTTGTCCCCGCGCTTTTGTCGGCGCGCTTTTGTCGGTGAACCAGATGGGATTGATATTAGTGAGGTTAAAAAAAGTTTTATATTGCAATTGTCTATATTTAAGTCCCAACAAACATGGACAAGACTACCTTGCTTCCCTGAAAATAAGACCTCCTTGGATAATAAGCCAATTGGGCTTTTGAGCACATGCGCTAAAATAAGCCCCCCCTGAAAATATTGCAATACAGCAGTATCTCAATACATGAGATGACCCCGCTTGCTGCCTCCTGCACTTCAAAAATAATAAGACCTTCCCGAAAATAAGGCCAAGTGCTTATTTTGGGGGTCAAAAGAAAATAAGACCCTGTCTTATTTTCAGGAAAACATGGTACAGGTTCAAAGTTACGCATTGTAATTCAAAGAACATGATTTCAACTACTGAGAAGTTCTTTGAACATTTTTTTTAAGGAGGAGAATTTAACTTAAGGAAATAAACATATTTCCTGATTATTAAGACCCAAACTCCAGCTTTTAACAGTAAATAGCCAATAGATTTGCCCAGAGATATCTGTTATCTGGATATTCATCTCTATTATAAAGTTACAATTCTTTAAAATCAGGCAAACTATTCTGTCTACATTCTATGCAATTTATTCTTAATTTTAAAGGTTTAAGGTTCATAAAGTTTAGAAGTTGTAAGATCCTCAAAGAATGAGTGTCTCTGTGCATGTGCACCCAAGCAGATATGTGTGTAGAAGACAGTCTTTCACATAAATAGAAACTTAAAAAAAGATGTAATGTCCCGATTCTCCCATCGTAATTATGTCCGTACGTGTAAGTGTATGCCAGTGTAAGTGTATGCAAGTAATGTCACTTGCAACTTACCAAATTGCAAATTCCTTCATGAACCGTACAATCCAATGTTCCAAATTTTAGTTGTCCATACAAATGCTTTGATGCTTTCCTCAGTTCTGGCAATAAAGCCCGGCATGGAGGACACCACTAATATCAAAGAGAGAATGAAGAGAAAAAAAAAATCTCCCCAGTCACTAGAGCACCACAATTTTTGGTTCTTTTTTGACCAATTGTTGTTGGCAATTACTTATGCGTATACAATCTTTCCTTAGAGTTTAACTGGGAGGAATGCACAAATCTCTTTGTGATTGTGACCATGTGATGGACTGATGGGTGGAAGGGCTGTGTTTGGGCTTTTGATGTACTAACCTGGAACTCTTAAATTCAGGTTTTCCCAGACGTGCCAGTATAACTACTCTAATAAAAGGGAACTTTGAGAAGATGCCTGTCTCGGAGTTTTTATTTTTATTTCTCATATATACATTCACAATTATATGATCTCATAACTGTTATTAATAATATGTATTTGTAACAATTTTTCTCCCCTACAGTTGACAATATACTTGAAATTGCTTTCTTACCATCCCATAAACCCATCTTATCTTACAAAAATCCTACTTCTTCTTCCTTCCTTCCTTCCCTCCTTCCTTCCCTCCTTTCTTCTCTCCTTCTCTCCTTCCTTCCCTCCTTCCTTCCCTCCCTCCTTCCCCCTTCCCTCCCTCCTTTCTTCTCTCCTTCCTTCCCTCCTTCCTTCCCTCCCTCCTTCCCCCTTCCCTCCCTCCTTTCTTCTCTCCTTCTCTCCTTCCCACCTTCCCACCCTCCTTCCCCCTTCCCTCCCTCCTTTCTTCTCTCCTTCCTTCCCTCCTTCCTTCCCCCCCTTCTTCCCCCCTCCCTCCCTCCCTTCTTCTCTCCTTCCTTCCTTCCCTCCTTTCTTCCTTCCCTCCTTCCTTCCCTCCTTTCTTCTCTCCT